AGAGAGAGAGAGAGAGAGAGAGAGAGAGAGAGAGAGAGAGAGGAATAATTATATAAATGTATCCTGCTGGGTCCATTTAGTGATGCTTGTGTGTATATATATTTTTAGGGATAATCAAGTAGTATTGGATAACCAAAAAGAGAGGTCATCCCTGGAGGAGTCAAATTCTTCCTTTCTCAGCAGTCATTAATTACCTATGTCTCTTCATCTAGATGTAGAACCCTTTGAGATTTTTTCCATCTACATTGCCATGACAATTTGTATTGCCACTGTTCCAGTCATGTTTAGACAGCCGTGTTGTTGAGATTTCATTGGTGTACCATCCTGTCATATCTTGAAGACACAATCTGGCAGGAAACTTCCTGGTCCACTCGCCCCTATAATTCCTCCCTCTGTCTTCTGTAATATTCCCTGAACCTTAGATGTATGGGTTGTGTTTTAAATGTTTCAACTAGATTTGGAATCCCTATGGCCAGTTGTTCTTTATATTTTTTAAAGATTTTTTTTAAATTTGTATTAGTTCAAATTAGAAACAAGCTTGCTTCATATATCAATCCCTACTCCCTCACCCTCTCCTCCCCCCAAACCCCCACCAGTCCCCCACTTTATCCTCCCTCTGATCCCCAGGGAGGGTAAGGCCCTCCATAGGGGTTCCCCAAAGTCTGTCATATCATCCTGGGCAGGTCTAGGCCCTCCCCCATGTGTCCAGGCTGAGAGAGCAATCCTCCATATGGGATGGGCTCCCAAAGTCCCTTCTCTTTTTTATCATTTTTTATTTGAATTAGAAACAAGGTTGATTTACATGACAATCCCAGTTCCCTTCTTCCTCCCTTCCTCCTCTACCACCCCCCCCAACTAAAACCCTACCTATCACATACCCTTTCTTCTATTCTTCACCTGACTCAACCTTTCTGCTCCCTCATGACTTCTGCATCTTTCCTCTTCTTCTCTTCTCATTCTCGTAGCTCCTTCCCCCCTCTTCCCATGCTCTCAATTTGCTCATGGGATCGTGACCCTTTCCTCTTCTCCAGGGGACCATGTTTGTCTCTTTTAGGGTCCTCCTTGTTTACTAGTTTCTCTGGCAGTGTGGATTGTAAGCTGGTAATCTTTTACTCTATGTCTAAAATCCACATATGAGTGAGTAGATATCATGTTTGTCTTTTTGTGATTGCGTTACCTCATTCAGAATGGTTTTTTCTAGGTCCATCCATTTTCCTGCAAATTTCAAGATTCCATTGTTTTTTTCTGCTGAGTAGTACTCTATTGTGTAAATGTACCACATTTTCTCTATCCATTCCTCGGTAGAGGGGCTTCTAGGTTGCTTCCAGTTTCTGGCTATTGCAAATAGTGCTGCTATGAACATTGTTGAACAGATGTCCTTGGTGTATGATTGTGCATCTTATGCCAGGGATAAATACTGATCCACTACCAGAGGCCCCATAGAATTTTTTTCCTCTCTTATAGTAGTTATCTTTCAATGGATACCACTATAATCATTTGGGCCCTAACTCTCTGACCCTAACTTCTTACCAGATGGAGGCCATTATGGAAAGCCAGAGAGCAGGATGAGAGATATCATAACCGAGGGAGCCATTATAGATCCAAGGAAAGATCTGGCACTAGGGAGATTTCCAGAGATCTACAAGGATGACACCAAATGTCAATCCAGGCAATGGCAGAGAGACCTAGAAAATTCTTCCTTAGTTTGATAATAGCTAATGATAGCTGATCTATATTTGACATTTTGTAATTCTATTGGTTTGTATGTAAAACAAACCAATTCGTTAGCTGCATTCTCCAATTATAGAGAATACGGCTAAAAGGCATAAAAATATTGGGTTTGTTTAAATCTTTTTCTTACATATCAGTTATTTGAATATTCCCTTGAAATAAATTAGGTAGCAGGGCATCATATAGAATTTTAGTTCAAACACTACTTTGACAGAGTCAATATGACTTTAGATTACATACTGACCTCAAGGTTTTATCTGACTATGTAAAAAGCAAGAAAAATACCAGATACTTTATTCACCACCAGATATCTTCTTCATAAAAACAGATTCCCTTACTGGGAAATCTGGATTTGAAAACTTATATTTCAGTTTTATCTGTATTTGGACTTTCTATTACTTCTGCTTTTTTAAAATGACAAACAACACTATTAGTTTGAAGGAATATTATGTCATCCTCAAGACTCACTCACTTGCTAGTGTAGTTTCACATTATAATGCTTTATCAGTAAATTAAGGTTTTCTAATGGTTCCATTGCTAAGAAGTTTTCTAGAAGATACCTTGGTCATTGTGACATTGAACTATTTAATATTAGAAGAATATTATTTTACTTACTATAGATAGCACTTCCCTACATGTAAAATCCACTCAATATTTTCCATTTATTTGTCTCTTGTAGTGTGGCAGAACAAGTCTGGGCCCTACATTATGTGGTCAAAGAAATGGCTCAGCAGTTAAGAGTACTTGCTATTCTTTAGAAGACCCAAGTTCAATTACCAGACCACATACACAGCAGCTCACAACTAGCTGCGTCTTCAGCCCCAGGGCATCTGATGACTTCTTTTGGCCTACATAGGCACTGGCACACACATGTACAAACACACACACACACACACACACACACACACACACACACACACACACACACACTGAAACTAAAATAAAACTTTCAGAAAACTATATTGCAGTGTAGCATTTAAAGTATTTTAAAGATTTTTATCCATTAATATAGCTGTATGCAATAGGAACACTGTTCTGCTATCATTAAACTCAATTTATAAATAGCGTTATTAAACTCAAAATGTTTTCTAAAATTACCCATAGAAGTTCCATTCTTCCAAAGTATCACATCATCCATTGAATAGATATATGATTTTCTGCCTTTAAAAGTCATGAAAGAAACCGTACTAGAACCTGAAATTTCTCTTCAAATGACACACCCAACATGACAGAAAATACAGTAATTGCATGAAACTCTTTTTGGAAGACTTTCCCAACTTTCAAAGTGATTCTTAAGGAAATCTCCATAAATGAAGTAAAGAGTATCATCAAGACAAAGCCCATTTTCTTTTTTTAAAGAACTTAATAGAAACCTCACCAAAGATAATAGACGGATGGCAAACAAGAATAAGAGAAGATACTCTGTATCATGTGTCATGGGGAAATTGTTAACTAGAACAAGATGCCATTACAGATATAGAGAATGTCCAAAATCAAAAAACACTGACAACACAGAATGCTGGCAAGACTACAGCGACTCTCACAAACTGAACCCACCGTTAGCATGTGATTCCAAAATTGTTTTCTTTATTGTTTACTCAAAGAACTTGAAAGCCATTGCACATGAGGGAATCTGCACCCAGGTGTTTACAGCTGCTTTAATTATTGCCTGGACTTGGAAGTTATCAAGATGCCCTTTAGTAGATGGCTCGAAAAGTACCCTGGGATGTAGCCACACAAAGAAATGTTCAAACTTTAGAGGAAATGAGCTGTCTAGCGATGAGAGGATATGGCGGAGTCTTTATATGTAGAATCAAGTAGAGAAGGCCATCTGCAAAGATTATATACTAAACTACAGCAACTATTTTCATCTTAGAAAAGGTCAGGTTTTGTGGGGAGATGGATCAGTGCAGAACAGTTCTAGAGTAATTACAATACTCTTTGTCAGTAGTTCCTTGGTATACACGCAAAGTAAAACACAACTGTTGAAACACAAAAGATAAATAGTAGGGATTTTGACATTTAAGAGCGATTGATTTTAATTGATAGTTTTATTTGTTTATTTTCTCCTTTGTAAACCTCTTTGATTTGTGTGTGTGTGTGTGTGTGTGTGTGTGTGTGTGTGTGTCTGAAAGAATTAAAATGTGAAAAAAATGTGAAATACAATTGGAGCGCCATTCACCTGAAAAAGATAGGAATTTTGTAACACAAACAGCATGGATGAATCCAGAGGTGTTATGCTAAGAGAACTAAAAATTAAAGGAAAACAACTGCAATGTGATTTTATTAAATTTTAGGACATAAAGTAATCCAAATTGTCCATAAGATTATGATTTCACTAGTTTATAGGATATAAACAAACTGTATAATTAGAGTAGAATGGATTACTGGGTGCAGGGACAGTAGAGAAAAGTGTAGTTACTAATCAATAGACAAAATTTTCTTTAAGCAAGATGCATAAGTGGTGGATCTGTTTCACAATATTGTACTTGTAGTCAGCAAAACTGTTACTATGCACTTAAAATTGTTAAGACGATAGGTTTTGTATTAAGCAGTCTTACTAAAATAAATGGCTTTCAAAACAAGTTAAGGAGCATGTTATGTGATGGGAATTATCAACAGAGATTTTATAGTAAAAGGTAGCTTCATGGAACTTCAACTTTCAGGCGAGCAGCAAATGGCTTATAAGATGTAGTATTTCACAAGTCATCCTCCTTAGGTATCATGATTGTCACTCAGTCATAAATCAGCTATCCAGTTGTAGAATATAGTTGGTAAACATGCTTTTGTGGTAAATAAAGGAAAATGAGTGCTGTTGTGAGTCAGGGAGAGATGGGCTAAAAAGAGAAACATTGGCTGACATGATCTTTGACTCTCCATTTTCTGGACTCATCAGTCTTGTTCTTATTGTTCCTCTTAATCCAATATGTGCCTGTAATTTTTTTAACTGAAGAATGGGGAGTTTATTAGAACAGATATTCCATGGACAGACAGACAGACAGAGGGACAATAACATGGTAGGGACTCAAAGACAGTTTAGACTCCAGCACAAAAAATAACTTGGCATAGTCTCTGAAGAGAATCAGAACCTACATGGCAAGTACTGTCTATATTTAGGTCTCCTGAGGCATGTATCAAGGGAAGGCATGTATACCTTTACTTGATGATCAGTGAAGTGCCTAAGCCCTTCCAAGTCTG